CTCTGGGGACTATCAGGGTTACTCAGTTGTAGATACAGCATGCTTACCTTATTCTCATTCTGAGCTTTGGTGAATTTCTACAGATCACGGGTGTACTGATCAGTTTTCTCATTGCCTGAGCAAAATGCCTGACACCCACAATTTAAAGGAAGAGAGATTTATTTGGCTTGTGGTTTCAGAGCTTTAGTCCATGGTAAGTGACTCCGTGGCAGAAAAAATCATGGCAGAAAAATCAAGGCAGAAGGGCACAGTGGTGAAAAGATGCTCTCTTTATGGAAACCAGAAAAAAGAGAAGAGACATATCCTGCAACGACACACCACAGTGACCCACATTCTCCCATGGGCCCCACCTCCCTACAGCACTTTCTGTTACAAACACCAGTAGATTAACCCACTCCATGAGCATCTCTGCAGGAGTCTCTTATTCCAGTCAAGCCAACAATTAAGATCAGCCACCACCATGGTCCTCCCAGAGACCACACATTGGGGCATCACCAACACTGCATGTATATGGGAAGCTATGAGTAATGGACATGCACATTGTGTGTATCTTCTCTTCCTCCATGGATTCTCCATTGTCCCAATAGATTTCATCTATAAAACACAAGTTCAAAGAGAGGAATTTCTTTTAAAGTTAAGGATTTCAGGTCAGACATGGTGGAGCAGACCTGTAATCCCAGAGCTCTGGGGGGCTCAGGCAGGAGGATAAGAAGTTCAAGTCCAGCTTGAGCAATTAAGAAATTTAGTGAGAACTTCTATTAAAAAAAAAAGAATTTGAAGATACTGACAGCAGAACATTAAACTAAGTGCTGGGCTCTATGCCCCTGCACAGGTCAAATGTCTGTGAAGCTGGCTCTGATTGCTCTCCTGTGAAGTGCCTCAAGTTCCTTCCATTTTCCTCTAACTCTGGGGGAACAGGCCACTGGCTTATTGATTTAGAGTTTCTAGAAGCATTGCAAGTTTTTGCAGGCGCTTGGTCCACAGAAAAACCAGAAATGATGATAAGTTCCATGAAAGCAAGGAGTGATCAGGAAGGATGAAAGCTGAGAGACAGCACGGCTTGTCTCCTGCTCACACCTACAGGATGGGGCCTTCCTGAAGGAAGGAAGGGTGGAGGACTTAGCAGGTCTTTCAATTTTATGTTAAACAATATTCTGATCAAGGCAACAATCAATAAACACAAGTTTCAATATTAATTCACTATATTTAACAAAGGAGTCACAATGGACTTGTTATCTTTATATCTACTTTTTGGTCAGCTCCTAATCTTGAAAGAATTTCCTCATAGATAACGTTAGCAAGCATATGAGACAATTACTCAAAATTTCCTGGAAACAAATGCAAGAAAACAAAACTATAAAGGGAAAGAAAAATGAAAGTTAATAAACAGCTTTCCACTGGTTTAGCTGTAAAAGTTCTCAGAACAAGAACTAAACAGAAAGGTTACCTTCCTAGTATGAGACAATCAACTGTTTATGCACCCTTCTTAATTTGGGAGACCATATTTAAGTGTAACTGGCTTATGGAGGTATCCAGTTTATTGGGGCATAAACATGACCAGGCTTAATTTTTCCCAGGACCTACTCCCAATTGATAGGTTGTGCTTTTCCTTTGGGTGATAGCTCCTGAGCACTTGTTAAAATCTAATCTTCCCCCACCCCGGTACTGTGGATTGAACTCAGGGCCTTCACACTGAGTTACTTACCTATTTATTTATTTATTTATTTACTTGTTAAGAGACAGTCTCAGTAAGTTGCTAAGTTGCGCAGGCTGAGCTGGAATTTGTGATCCTCCGGCTTCAGCCTCCATAGTATCCCGGAATATAGGTATGTATCACCATGCCTGGTTTTAAGATCTAATTTAGAGCCCATATTTTTTCACTGCCTCTTAGCTGTGAGAGTTCTCTCCTGCCAGGGTTTAACATTTTGACCCATTTACCCTTTGTTCTCATGCCCGAGAGCAAGTGCTCCATGTGATCAGCAATTTCTGTCTTCTCTCTGTGCTTGTGGCTGCCCTGGCTGACCATAACTGGCCACCAGAACTGAGCTGCGTGGTGCTGTCTGTGTGCCCTAAAATGCCAGCCACTTGTGGGGTGGTGGCCTGGTTTCACTCATATTTTGACACCAAATATTAGGGGTTTTGTTTCCACACCAGCCAGTTCTGCAACTTGCTTAGATAGCCTACAGTTTAATTCAATTCTGGAGTGAGTGTGGACTGCACAACGTCACTCAGATGTGCCCCCACTTCAGCCCCCTCAAAAGTCTCCAGCTGCCATCAGCACTGCCAGAAACAAGGGACAAAAGACAACATTTTTATTTGTTTGTTTGATTGAGATAAGCTGGGCTTGCACTCCCTCTGTAGCCCAGGATGTCCTCTTGCCTCAGGTTCCTACCTCAGCCTTCCACCAAAAACCAAACATTTCTTTCTTTAGTATTATTATTATTACTATTATTATTTAGCTTTTTCAGTGTTGGGGATTGAACCCAGGAGCACTCTACCACTGACCTACATCTCTAGTCCTTTTTATTTTTATTTTTATTTTGACACAGCATCTCACTAAGATGCCCCAGTTGACATTGAGCCTCCGGAATAGCTGGGATTATAAGGTGTTCTACCATGCTTCAATATTTGTTTTTTGTGATCACAGAGGGGGAGTTTGATTTCCCTGAAAACATGTACCCACAACAGAGACATCAGATTTCTGTAACGATCTGCTGTTGTCCCATCCAGGGACTTGCAAAGCCACCTCAGATGGTCCACATATCACAGAGTCGTCTGGGGTCTCTGGCTGTGGCACCACGCTGGGGCAGTGCCTGTAGATGGCCAGGCCCAGGTCCCTCCCCAGCTCACATATACTACTCTTGCCACATTCCGTGGGACAGAAGCAGCGGCCTCACAGCCATCTCTCTTGGTCTGGCAGCACTCTCTTCCTCCCGTTCTCCTTGGCAGAGGGAGATGGTTACCACTTACCGGGATGGAGAGAGTGAAGGAGGAGATCCTTCTCTTTGTGACCACGCTCAGCCACCTCTCAGCCTTCTGATATGGTTCCGGGAAGTAAGGCCTGAGGGGTTGGCTAGTCACTGTACACTGGTGGCATTCTGAATTCAGATGAGAGGTGAACCTCACTCAACATTTTATGGCACAAGTAAGAACACTGAATGGAGCCATGGTGGCACACGCTTGTAATCCTAGCATTCTGGGAGGCTGAGGTGGGAGCTTAAGCTGGAGCCCTGACTGTCAACTTAGCAAGGCCCCATCTCAAAAATAAAAACCAAAAAAGGGCTAGAAATGTGGCTCAGTGCAAAGGCCCTGAATTCAATACACACTGCTGTCAAAAAAAAAAAAAAAAAAAAAAAAAAAAAAAAAAAAAAGAAAAAGAAAAAAGAAAGAAAAGAAAAAGAAAAAAGTGAGAGCACTAAGCCACCTTATTAATCATCAGTTGTCAATAACCTGCCTTTATTTTGACCCTTGTATTTTCCCAGAAGAATTAAAGACATCATACCGCAGCGACATATGTGCACACATGTTTATAGCAGCACACTTTGTTATAGCTAAATCTCGGAAAAAACCCAAATGCCCATCCACTGAGGAATGGATAAAAAGATGTAGTATTTTTATACAATGGAGTAGTACTCAGCTATAAAAAGAATAAACTCAAGGTTTTTGTAGGTAAATGGATGCAACTGGAGACCATACTCATAAGTGAAATAAATCAGACCCACATGTGTAAATATCATATTGTTTCCTTGGTGTAGGCACCTGAAAGAATAAGTAAAACTCAAAGCATATAATAGATGATAGGAAAAGGAAAGAAATTGCTCAAAGGAAGGAACAACTTGGATGAGGGAAAGAAGAAAAAAGAAAGAAGGCAAAATATAAATATATATATGAATAGCTGCAATAACTGTATTGCTGATGTCTGATGGTATATTGAAATGAACAGTTAATGCTTAAAATTTTTTATGTTCTGATCAATTTTGCATGCTTATATCTGGTAATCTGAGCAACTGATTTGGAGGTAACAATATGCAATGGAATTACCATGGTGAATTCCTACCATCTTGTCTAGTGAAACTCTGTAATATCTCTAATGTTTTATCTAATATTATTTTCTTATTCTCTTTAATGGTTTGAACAATCTTCCATTCTTACATCTGGTAATCTGAGGAACATAGTTGAGGACAAGGATATGTAATATAACAACCACTGTTAATTCATATTATTCTGTCTTGAAACCCTGTATCACTTGAAATGTTCTTGCTTTGGTTTGTTTATGTTTGTGATACTGGTACGCTGCTATTGTTCTATTTTTTTGTTTGTTTGTTTCTCATTTGCCACTCTCTTTAAAATAAAATTTAAAGAAAAACAAAAACAATATTTTGACCCTTGTGCTAGGAGCCAGGGTGAACACAGACTACTTCAGGATATTTTCCAGCAGGCAGTGTGGCTGGAGACCAACAGGGGAGGTTGGGCATATATGTTAACAAAACAGAACAGAAAACAAACAGTACTTGGAACAACTACACAAACATGTGATTTACGTTGAATCCATTGGAGAAGGAAAAAAACATGGAACGGTTCCCATTTATTTAAATGGGACGAACGCAGATGCTTTCACCTCCACCTTTGTCCATGTTTTATTTTTTTTTAAATTTTTTTGTCTTTTTGAGACAGGGTCTTGCTGTGCGGTTCAGGTTAGCATTGAACCTGAACTGAGCTCACTTTGAGCTCACTTTGTAGCCCAGGCTGGTCTCGAACTCACAGTGATCCTCCTGCCTCAGCCTCCCAAGTGCTGGAATTACAGGTGTGCGCCACCATGCCCAGCTGTCCATGTTTTAAAATTATTTTTTATCTTGAAATAATTTAAGATTTATGCAAGTTACAAGAATAGTTTAGAGAGAGTTCCTGTGTATCTTGCACCCGGCTTTCCCCTATGTTAACATCTTACATAACCACAGAACAGTTATAAAAATGAAGGAATTAACACTCATACAACGGTACTAGCTAAAATATGGACATCTTTTAATGTAGTAGTTTTTCCAATAAGGTCCTTTTTTGTTGTTGCTGTTCCAGGATCCAGCCCAAGCCATCAGGATGCATTCAGAGACCCTTTGGTCTCCTCCAATCTTTGACCATTTCTCAGCCTTCCCCTCTCTTTCCTGACCTTGATGCTTTGAATAGCTCTGGTCAGGTGTCTGTCCATGTTATATAATTTGGATTTTCCTGATGATAAGACTGGGGTTATGGATTTTTTGGGTGCTGTTCTTCATTCTACCTGGGGCTGATCTTAGTCCCTTGGTTAAGGTGAGTCTGCCAGATTTCTCTCCTGTAAAGCACTATTTTCCTTTTTCTATATTCTATCCATTATGAAAGTGTCACTAAATTTAGCCTATGCTGAAGGGGGAGGGGAATCAAACTCCCAGGGAAGCATCAGATACTTTGTGGATATGTGTTAAAATCACAGTAGTGAATAAATATTTTCAAAGAGATTCTTTGAGGCTATGCAATTTTTTTGTTTCTCCTTAAAGTTTTACTAACTTTAGTGTTCAGAGTGGATTTGGCTGTAGCATTTGTTCTGTGGTATCTTCATGGTGATTTTGTGTTTCCCTCCTTCTTTGTATATGTATTATTTGGAACTCATCTTTTTTTTATTTATTTAACCTTGTTCTAGCTTTGTCTTTGGGAGCTCTTTCAGTTGGCCTCTCTCTCTCTCTCCTTCCTTTCTCTCTCTCTCCCTCCTTTTCTCTTTCTCTCCCTCCTCTCTCTCTCTTCTTCCTTCTCTCTCTCTCTCCTTCCTTCTCTCTCTCTCTCTCTCTTCCTCTCCCTCTCTCCTTTTCTACAAGATGCAAAAGCTCATCTTGTATTTTCCCTATCTCAGCCCCTAGAACTCTGGCTGCTTTGACTGCAGAATAGCATTTAGAAACCAAGAGCTTCCACGTCCTCTTAGTGGAGAGAGGTAGGAGACGTGTGTCATTGTCCACATTTTTGGAAAATGGAAATCGCCAACCCTAACCCTACTTCTTCCTTCCTTTTGGTCTTTGCTTGGATCACAAAGAAATCTACACTCCTGCTTTGGGGCTATGTCCATTAGTGACGGTAATTATTTTAGTCTACCCTTCCACTGTGTGCTAAGTACTATGTTGTTTTTTATTTCCTAACAGTCCAATCTGGCAGTTTCAGCAAACGTTCTGAGGTCAGTATGAGAGACAACCCACCCCTGGAATTCCTTCCCCAAACCTTTGTTTTTATGCAGCCTGTTACCTCCTCACTCCCTCTCAGCCTCTGGTTAGCTTGACCAACTGAATCTACTGAACTACTGTGCTTGGGCATCTTCACTAGACTGCAGCAGCTGAGGACCAGCAGGGTGGTAAGCTCCATGAGGCGTTCCAGCTGGGTACCTGGGTGTTCACTGATCAGGAAGAAGCTGAATGCCAGGCCCTTGCTCCCAGCCCCTGCCTCCTAACTCAGCAGCCAGCACGTTCTCGTAGTCATCTGAGTCTTCATCTGACACCTCTTCCCCATGTGTCATTTGGCTGTCCCCACTCTGTATGGATGGCAGAAAGACCACACAATACCCTGAAGAGAGGGATCTCCTTGTGACAGGGTGGGTGTGGGTCCCTGGACCATCTGTCCTGCCCTCTCTACAGTCTGTGTTTGAAGACTTCTCTTCTTCCTCAGCCTGCTGTTGGCTTCCACTGGGATCTGCTGCTGGGACATTTACATAATCTCTGCAGCCCTGAAAATCCACCCGGGACTCCTTCTCCTGGATGTCCCCAATATCCAATCCTGTCATGTTGACATAGTCATGGGAGGTCTGAGAAGAACCTTCCCCATCACTGAGTGGATCACTGCCCTCAGTTCCTGGAAGCCCCAAACTGGTGCCATCGCTGGTGTCCCCGCAGCTCTCTTGTCCTTCCTCATTAAACTCCAGCTCTTGGATGCTGGGCAGGACAAAGACATTTTCCAGTGGGTTGTTAGTAGAAGTTAACATCTCAGCAGTCTCTTCTGCCGTAGGGACATTGACATAATCATTTGACTCCTCTGAAGATGTGCTCGAGCCATCCCTGGAAGCTGTGATGTTGATGTAGTGTGCCGAGGGAGCAAGGTTCCCATGCATCTGGGGCACAGAGGCATTGTCATAGACACCCAGCGCATAGTGCACAGCACGGATGTGGACTCGGTGACTCTGCAGGGTGTTATCTGTTTGAAAGGACTGTGAGGAAGAGGAGAACATGATTGGAGCACAAGGGTAGCCAGAGCCTCTCTTAGGCCACCGCCCGCTCTCCTTCCCTCAGTCCTTCCCCTGGGAGAAAAGCTCTACAGCTCCGCAGTCTCACACTGCAGGGTTCTGGACGCCAGGTATGTATGAGGGAAGTGGACTGGGATTAATGAAAGCGATTATGCAAATGTGACGATGAATTGCAACTGGTTTGGGGCACTGTGTGGGGTTAAGTGGGCAGTGGAGGAAGCCTCATGCACGGGAGAGAGTCTGTCTCCTGGAGGACATTCTGAGGTGATACAGCAGAGTGGCTGAAGGCACACCGCAGACCAGGCTTTGGTGCAGACCAGCCTGCAAATCCCAGCCTCTCCACTTTGTACCAAGTGAGTCTGAGCTCCTTTCCGAATCCCTCTGTGCCTTCATTTCTTAGTTTATAAAGTGAGCATGATCATAATATCTGTCTCATAAGGTTTGCATGAGGGTTGAATGGATTACTGGGTATAAAGTGTGCTCCTGACACAGAAAACACTAAAAGCCGACTAGTGTGGTGATGTACCCCTGTAATCCCAGCTACTCAGGTAGCTGGAGCAGAAAGATTGCTAGTTCAAGGACAGCCTGGGGAATTTAGGGAAACCTTGTCTCAAAATAAAAAAGGGCTGAGGCTGTAATTCAGCACTCCCTGGTTTAGATCCTGAGTAAAGAGGAAAACAACACAGCCACAACAACCAAACACTGAAAAATACTTGCTATCATAGTGTCAGAGGGACAGCTGCTAAACAGACGCAGTTGATCTTTGTCATGTAAGGGTGATGGTCTGCTGCTTCTGAACTTCTGAATTTTTAAGATAATCTGGACACCTGGACTTTCAAGGTGAAATGTCTTCAATTTTTAAATGTTGGCAACTGATTCAAAATGTCCTTCAGACACTATAGAGTCCAGACCAAACAGTTTGTGGGTTTAAGACATCCTGTGGCTTAAATTCTAAATGCCCCCCAAACACACTCGCCAAGGTTACCACCCAAGTCTTGGAACTGGCTTTGGCAATGGAGTTTCCTCTTCTCTGCCCTTGCTCAGCTGAGGTGGGGGTGTAGTAATTGAGCATGAGCCTCTGGTAATGAGAAGCTACCTAAGAACATACTCCCCCTCAGAAGCAGCACATTTACCCAGGGAAGACCACAGAGTCACGGGGACTGGATTTTAAACAGATAAACTGTGTCCATGCAAGTGAGTGCCCCGATCTCCAAAGTAGTCTGTCTATTGTCTCTGATGTCTCTGCTCCACTACTGGACTCCTTGAGAGATGCCTTCAGAGTCAAATCATGAAACACACAGAATTACGGTTATCAGTTGTGACCTGTAACCTTCATGGTTACCACTGCTATGGTTAGAATGTATCTCCCAAAGTTCATGTGCTAGAATCTGAATCCCCAGTGTTACAGTGTTGAGAGGTGGAACCCTTAAGAAGCGAGAGGAGTGGGTTCCCAACTTTAGTATATGTGCTGCCGAAGCGAGCACAGGAGTGGGGTTCCCAAGAAAAGAATGAATTCAGTCTCTTTCTCTCTCTCTTTTTTTTTTTTTTTTGGTTTTTCTCCGGTACCAGGAACCGAACTCACGACCTTGCGCTTGCCAGGCAGGCACTTTGCCGCTGAGCTTAATCCCCAGCCCCATCTCTCTCTCTTTCTCTCTGTGTCTCTCGGTGGTGCTGGAGATTGAACTCAGGGCCTTGTGCATGTAAGGCAAGAACTCTACCACTGAGCCACATCCCCAGCCCAAGCCATATGTTTCTGTACATTATAATTTACTCAAAATGAACCAAGACATCCTCATTTGATCACTTTGTGCTGAATGATTCGTGGAGATTTCTGCCACTGAGGGTAATGCAAGCAATTTGACACAGGCCCTAGAACTCCTACAGCAGGGTTTTAAGTGTTTTAAGTATCAATAGCATTGGTGGAATAGCTTTGTGCCCTCTGAGGTAACTACTTTGGTGGGAACAGTTTTCCTTTGGATACACACATTATAATGTCTTTGTTAAAATAATCAATTTCAGTTCTAACACCAGGTACTTGAATACATGTGACTTATTTTTTTGGTGGGGAGGGTCCAGTTGTAGAGATTGAACCCAGGGTCCTCACACTGAGCTATATCCCCAGTCTTTTAATTTTTTTTTTTTTTTTACTTTGAGGCAGGGTCTTGCTAAATCACTAAGTTGCCCCAGTTGGCCTCAAACTTGTGATCCTCTGGCCTCAGTCTGCAGAGGATCTGGGGTTGTAGGGGTTGTGGAGGGGATCTGGGGTTGTGTACCACTTCTGGCCACATGGACCTTTTTTAAAACCTTAAGCGCTAACTCCTGTGCTTCTTAATTTTTCTTGTTGTGCAGTAGGCAGATAATGAGATTAATCTTCCTAATTTATTAATAGGGCTAAGTGCTGTCTGTGGTGAAATCACAGATCTGAGACCTAGGCCTCCTTTCCTCAGTTCTCCTGCCAGACACTGGTCATTGGGTCAAGGGACTTGTCTTTCATTTAACTCTTATTTTTTATTTCTTTGTGCCCCTGGAGATGGGCCTAGGCACATGTGCATGCTAGGAAAGTGCTCTAGACCAGATCTACATCCCCAGGCCGTCTCTTGACCCTTACCACATGCTCAGGGCTGTCAGAGGTTCTGGAGATGAGGCTCTCGGTGCTGAAAATATGGATACTTCTTGATTGACGTCTCCCTGAAATGACAGAGATAAGTCCTCAAGATAGGCAGTCTTCTCAGGACTTCCGCCCAAACAGTCCCCACGTGGTGGCTGAACGGGGCGTGTGCAGTGCCTGGCACGTCCAGCCTGGGCCCTGGTATTTTGTGGTGATGGAGTCAGAGCTACTGGGAGGATGTGCTCTGAGCCGTGGATGCCTCCTTGGAGGCTCCTGACGAGGACCCTGCCCCTTCTTCCAGGAATGCTGGCACCATGATCTCCCCACAGGTGACTTCCAGTGCCTGGGCACACCTTGCTTTCCTCTGCTACCTCAGCACCAAGAAAACCAAAGCCCCAAGCCCAGCTGCTTCTCTGCTGCCTTCTGAGAGGGCTCAGCCCCCATTGGAGGTGCAGCCCACAGCCTGTCCATTCCAATCCCAGTGCTCGCGGCAGAACGGTCTGGAAGCTTAGAGAAAATCGTTTCCAAGTAGTGAGAGGTGCATTCTGGGAGTGAGAGTGCAGAACATCGGGGCTCCACAGGTTAGGAGAAACATACCTAGCTCTGCTTGTCGGCGAGGCAAGAGGTCGTAAATATTTTTGGCTCGTGGTCTGGGTTGAGGCAGGGTCAGTGAGGGCATGCTGGTCACTCGGAGGTAAGGAACTTGCCCTTCAAGACAATGGGAGAGATGGGAGTATTGGAGGGGTCAGCAGCACAGAATGTGGAGACCCATGGGGACAAGATGGTTCCTCGAAATATTCCCCACCCTCACCGGGTATAATGTATTTTTAGACTTGAGCTAGAAGAATTTCTATTTGAGCTAGAAGGAATAGGAGACTAATAGACAGAAGCAGAAAGAGTGAACGGAGTGTAGGGGCACCAGGGTAATGTCTTTCCCAGTAGCCCTAGAGTCACAGCTCAAGACCATCCTGTCAAATGACCAAGGACTCCCCAGTGCAGTAATGTATTACTGGTGGTAATAATACCCTCATAATCCCAGCATCTTGGGAGCTGAAGCAGGAGAATCATAACTTGGAAGCCAGGCTGTAGGCAGTTTAATGACTTAGTGAGGTCCTGCCTCAAAATAAAAAATAAAATCCTGGGGATGTAGCTCAATGAGAAGGCCCTGCAGTCAAACCCCCATACCAGAAAAAGAAGAGTTCATTGCTGGAAAACAAATTGGGCTCGAATGCCAGGCTAGAAGATTAATGCTAGTGTGTTTCAACCTGGAGCAAATAAGGGACTCACGCCTCTTCTTTTTGTTCCAGTTCCACAGGATGCAGGAAGCTGTGATGATCAGGAGGAGGGCGAGGAGTCCCGCAAACCCAGAAAAGATGCTGCTCTGTTCCTTATCCCTAGGAGAAAAACCAAGTTCGGTTGTCCCAGCTGCCATCGATGGTAGGGGTGGAGGTTGGGGAGGACATTCCCTTCAGGACATGGAGTCCAAGCATTGGGAACAGGAGCCAGATGTGGGGCAGCTGAGGTGGAAGAGAGGGTCCTCTCTGAACAGCAAGCACATGCAGAGAGGGCTTGAAAGCGGAGTAGGGAACTATCCCTTTCACACGCCTACCAGCTGCTAGAGGTTTGCCTGTGTGATTTATTTAAACTTCACAACAATCCTACCTCACTGTGTGGTCAAGGAACCCAAGATTTAGATTCAGAAAAAGTAAGTAACATGTCCAAGATGATACAGGTAGGAGGCACGGAGTGGAAAGGTGAATCCAGGTCTGGTGGGGTCCCAAGATCAGGCTCTTTCCTCTTTCCACACCATCCTCCAATCCAGCAGTCAAACCCATCTGCTCTGCTTCCCCTAGCTCCCTGTCCTCTGGGCTTGCTTGGAGGAGAGGATTGCCCAATTCACAGGAGGTGGCTTGGTGACAAAGGCACTTTGTATGAACTTGAGTAACCCCCAACTTGTGCAGCTGGTTTCCTAGCAACACCCAACTGTTTCATGGAATTTAACCAATGTGAGTTCTGTGCTATCTTGCAATTCCTCTGCAGGGCTGGACTTACTCTCGCTTTGCTTGGGTGTTGAACAGTATCTAGCTGATCACAACCCCAAGGGCTATGCCTACTTTAACAGGAAGCAGCTAATGGAAGACAGGGCAGGAGCTGGCAGCTGATCTGCTAACCTCAAGAGCAGAAACCAGGACACCTACCAGGGAAACTTTTTGTTCTCCTGAGCTTTAGTTTATTTACTCAACTTGCTACCGGACATTCCCACCAACCTGCCTAACAAACATCTCAAACCAAAACAGAGCTCCTGTTCTCCCTCCCTGCACCCACTGTCCTTCTCCTGTGTCCTGTCATCCAGTGGCACAGTTGAAAACCTTGATGTCATTTTGGACTGCTCTCTTTCATGCCCCAGCACATTCTGTCTGCTTTACCCTCGGCATGGGCATCTACCCTACCTGGTCACCTCTTGTTCCTCCATTGCCACCAGCTTGTGCTCCACACGCACACTGCAGTAACCTCCCGAATGGCTCTCCTGGCCTTTGCTCTGCCCCTCGGCATACCATCTGCACACGAGAGCCAGTGGGAGATGAAAGCAGTCAGTCAGATCACGTCCCTCCACAGCTTATAACCTCCATGGCTTCCCGTCACACTGAAAGTCTGTGGTCCTCACCCAAGAAGACTTTACGGCACCATAGGACCTGACCTCTGCCTAGCTCCTGACCCCTTCCCACAACTTTCCCTGGGACGTGACTGCCACCCTGCCTTGCTGTTCCATACCCGGGCACAGCACAGTTCTTCTCAGATCTGTCCCTCCTCTTTGGACCACTCTTCCGGCAGCTGTCACATGGCTCACTCCCTCATTCCATGCAAGTCTCTCCTGAAATGTCACTCCACAGATAGGACTCCCCTGGCCACAGTCTGTTATTCACAGTTCCCTTAATGCTGCTCTGTTTTTTTCTTCAGAGTACTATCACTGATTGATATTATATTATGCATCCATTTGTTTGTTTGTCATCTAACACTCTCCTTTGACCATAAATTTCAGGATCTCTTGGGCTTGTCTGTCTTGTTCACTTCATGTCTTAAACAGTGCCTGGTACTTAGTAGGAACTTGATGAATATTCCTATCTTTTATTTTGAAATCCTGTATCGTTTTTATTGTTTTGTGGATTTTTTTTTTTTTTTTTTTTTTTTTTTTTTTTTTTTTTTTTCCGGGAACTGAACTCACGACCTTGCGCTTGCCAGGCAGGTGCTTTGGTCTGTTTGAGACAGGGTCTCGCTATGCAGTTCAGGCTGGCCTTGAGCCACTTTGTAGCCCAGGCTAGTCTCGAACTCACAACGATCCCCCTTCCGAGTGCTGGGATTACAGGTGTGTGCCACCATGCCAGGCAATATGTTGTTTTGTTTTTGTCTTTGTTATTCTTATTTTGTTATTGTTTTTTATTCTCTTTAAAATAAAAAAATGCAAAGCAAAAAAATAAATGTAATATTATCTGTTTGTTTCTTTTTTGTAAGAATCTTTTCATTTTATGTCTTTTTTTTTTTTTTTGGTATCAGGAATTGAACTCAGGAACTTGAGCTTGCCAGGCAGGTGCTTGTGCTGCTGAGCTATATCCCTGGCAAAAATAAATAAATGAATAGATGAAATATGTCTACTATTACTACCACCACTACTGCTACTATTACTACTGCTACTACTCCTCCTCCTACTACTAATAATAATAATAATAAAAGAATGACTATGGAAATCATTTTGAGGGCACTAGAGCCACTGTGGAAAATAGTATAGAAATTCTTCAAAAAATTAAAAATAGAACTATCATAACAGCCATCAGTCTCACTACTGGGTATATATCCAAAGTAAATGAGATCAGTATATCTACACTCCCATGCCTTTTGAGAGATGTCTATATGCACATATTTACAACAGTGTCAGTCAATGAAAGGATAAAGAAAATGTATACATACACAGTAGATACCATTATCATCTGTGACAGCATGGGTGAGCCTGAAGGACATTATGCAAAGTGAAGTAAACCAGGCACAGAAAGACAAATGCTGCACAATTTCACTTATATATAGAATCTAAAAAAGTTGAGCCAGGAATGGTGGCTCACACTTGTAATCCCAGCACTGGGGAACCTGAGGCAGGAGGATCACCGAGAGTGTGAGGCCAGCCTGAACTGCAAAGTGAGACCCTGTCTCAAAAAGACAAAAAAAAAAAAAAAGTGGGGGCCAGAGATATACTGTCTGCCTGGCAAGCACAAGGTCCTGAGTTCGATTCCCAGTACCCCCTCCCCCAAAAGTTGAACTCATATAAGTAGAGAACAAAATGGTGACTACCAGGGGATGCGGGGGAGGGGGTGAGAGATGCTTATCAAAGCATACAAAATTTCAGTTAGGTAGAAGGAACAAATTCAAAAGTTCTATTATACAACATGGTTTTGTTGAAAACAAGGAATGGTCCTCTGTCTACTGTAGATTTCAAGTGTTATCACACACACACACACACACACACACACACACACACATACACACACAACGCACACAGTGTGCGAGAAAGTGGATTCATCACTTACTTCGAGTTAGCAGTTCCACAATCTACATATTTCAAAGCAGGTTGTACACAATAAATATATACAATTTTTGTCAACTGGAAAATAAAAGTAAAATTTAAAGAAAGAAATAGTTGTTAGGGGTGTTTCAGGCTTCTGACACCTTTTACAAACTCCTTCCTCATCAAGGCCTGTGTTTACCTGCAAGTAACATGTTTGCTCTGGTAATAACATTTAATTCCCCAAATGAGCGTAATTTAAAAATTTATTATAATTGGGTTTTCTTTTTAACATGGCCCTGAAATACATGCCTACAATGTCACTGAAATTTCAACTCCTGATGGATCTCTTACTTTCGTTTTTATGAGATTTGAAACCATCAGCACTGAATTTACGTTTGCAATTGGTTTGGTGAGCTCTTACATTCTAAAGACACACCTTTATAATATTCATGACTACATTTTCCTCTTGTGGCAAGATTTTAGGATCCAAAAACCCCCTGAGAAACTGGGCCTTCTGTTTCTATCATATTGGGGTCTGAGATAGGAAAGTCTGGGAACAGAAATCAGGGCTCTGAGAGGAGAGAATCCCAGCCAGCAGATCTCCCTCCCGGAAGCCTCTCCTTCCTTGGGGCCCTGCGGCTGGCTGTGAGGGGCGGCAGCTCTGCTGGGCTAGAAACTGTGGACTGGGCAGGGCCTCGTGTCTCGTCAGGGGAGAGTGGCGTTCACCACCCAAGTCACTCACGCTTCCCAGCTGCTGGAAGGGCTGGTATCTAACGTCTGCCTCGTGATGTCCAAAGAGGCTGGGGTGATGTCCATCCTTCGGGAAACTCTGCAGTCCTCTCTGGCTTCAGCCTCTACTTCTGGCCTCAGTCATGACCAGCCAGGCAGCACATCTGCCACTCTTCTTACTTGCTGGCTCCTGGGAGAAAAGGTTCCATACAACCACCTTTATTTTTAATTTTCTCTTGTGGCTTACACAAGAACGACGGAAATCCTTCTAATCTGATTGTCTGCAAACACTCCCCAGTGTACCCTTTTATTCTCAAAATTTCTTCTTTCTAGAATCTTCATTCACCAAAGTCCCTCACAAAAAAACTTTGGTTTTCATTTCTTCTTTTCTAAAGCTTCTTTCCTTTTTCGCTGTAGAAACTTCTTTCCCCCAACAGATTCCCTACTTTGAGTTCGCCCCTGAAATGCCAGGCTGGGTTTACTCAACACACAAAAGCAACAGGTTCAGTTCTACCTGGGCTGGCTATGCGGCCTGCTGCAGGAGGCGAGCGCTGTTCAGGTGCCAGGCTCCCAGAGTGAGGCGGCTCAGGGACGCTCTCTCATCTCGGCCTTCTGCTGGAAATGCGAGGGGCACAGAGGGACAAGCTGCCAACAGGCCCAGGAGAGGCTCTGTGAGAAACTCATCTTTCTCCAACCCCCGGAGCAGAGCGAAAACAGCAAATCACTTTGGCAGAATGGAAACAGCGAGTCAGTGACAGGAAGCACCGCCACCAATGTGCTAATGAGGCTCGGGGCACAGGAAGTGCTGCTCTGCTCTTGATAGATCGAAGAAAACCTATCTTTAGCTGCTGCTCCTGGACTTGCCAGGTGGGGTGTGGGAGAGGGGATAGCACTGTCTACCCCTGGGTTTCTGAGCCCTTTAGAGATTCATAACCTTCTAGGGTTGCACCTGTGTCTGATTTGGTGGCAGAGAGTACAGAGGGGACAGGCTTTTTAAGTCTACACTTTCCAGTTTCTGTTTCCGGGCTGCTTGGGTTGAAGAAAAAAAATGTACCCTTTCCAGGTGCTGTTGGCGGAACTGGTCTGGGTCTTGTACCTTGAGAACTTCTACTCTGGGTTATTGCCTACAAATAGAGCTGAGGTAGGGTTAGCAGAGCCTCGGGGGCCATTTCTTCCACCCCTGCTCCTCAGGCTGCCCATGGGGCCACCAGCTGCATCTCTGTCCTGTTGGCAGGGCCCTCTTGCAGGGGCACGTGGCGCACCATGTTGGAGGCACCACCAGGTGGGTTCTCTGGGTCTACATGAAGTGTCCCAAGCTTTGAAGATTGTTCAAGGTTTGTTTCGAACTCTCCTCCTCTCTTAATCCTGTTAATCTCCAGAAACACTACATCTTGGGAGAGTCCCACATAAGAGGCCTCTAAGACTGTCATGAGGCTGAGTATGGTAGCACATGGCTATAGTCCCAGCATTCTGGAAGATTGAGGCAGGAGGATTGCAAGTTCAAGCCCAATCTGGGCCATTTAGTGACTTAGTGAGACCCTGTCTCAAAGTACAAAAATAAAGTCGGGTAGGGGCTGGGGATGCAGCTCAGCGTGAAGGCCCTAGGTTCAATCTCCAGTACTGTTTTAAGAAAACTGTTGTAAGGGTGCTCCCTGATCTCACTGATCCCAGATGAATGACAGGGACATTGGTGCCCTTGTCACCAGCCTCTTTCACAGCTCTCACCAGTGCACACCCAGGGTCCTCAACTTCCCAAGCCACAGTGCTGTGCTGCATCGTCTGGGCTTTCAGTGAGCCCTAGGGAGCTGCAGACTGGCCCTGGCCAGCCCTAGGGGGCTCTGCCATCCCAGGCCTTCACTGCCCTCTGTCCCAGGATCCTGTCCTGGCAGAAAGAGACGGCTTCGTAGCAGCTGGCTTGGGGACTGGAGCCTGGGTTTCTGTCTGTGCATCCTTTGGATCAGGTCTGAGTAAGAACTAGGACTCTTCACAAATCCACTGCATGATGACTGGTGGCTGGAGCCAGTGTTCTAAGCCACTGGAAGAGTAAGGGACAATGTGTGAGCCAGGAACCTGGAAGATGGTACCAGGGCAAGTGGAGAGAGTCAAACCTCAGGATCCTGACTACTACTTAAAAAACATTTTTTTTCCCCGAACCGCTTCCCCCAGTGTGATCATATCAGCCTGTTGCAGTCAGAGCAGTCATCCCATCCTCCCCTGCCCTGTACCTGACGGGAACCACCTCCTTGGGGGTCCCCGGCTCAGGCTGAAGACAGGTTTCCAGGCCCTCCAGCTTACGCCCTTCTCTTCCTTCCCTATGGCACAGAACCCAGCCCACGAACAGTGGAAGGAAACTGTGTTCATCCTGGGAAAGAGTGCATGTTTTAAATCTGGTTGTGCTAGTGCTCTTTTTTAACCATTTTTAATGGTTTTATGGCTTCATGGTGATATATGATTTTAAATCAACCTAATACATACATCAAGGTAAGCAAAGTTCTCTGATGGGAGTACGGCACCGCGTGCTTCTGCAATACTGCTGCTAGTACCAAAGACTTCTGAAGTCCTCCTTTGGAGGACAGAAGCCCTATGTTAATAGCATCTTCTGGGGTACACATTCTCAGTTATCATCTAGTAGATCTGGGGAGGTCATCTCTTGTTCGTTTGTTTGTCTGTCTGGTTTTTTTTGGACAAGGTCTTGCTATGTAGCCTAGGCTTGCCTTGAACTCACAACCTTCTGGCCTCAGCCTCTTCCACAGCTGGGACTGCAAGTGTGCACCACTGTGCCTAGCTGCTAACACCTTTACTTTTTTTTTTTTGAGATAGGGTCTCACTATGTAGGTCAGGCTGGGCTTGAACTCACTATGTAGCCCAAGCTGGCCTTGAATTTGCATCAGTCCTCCTGCCTCAGCCTCCTGAGTGCTGGGATTATAGGTGTGCACCAGCATTCCTGGCTAATATCTGTAATTTCTATTGTATAGATAAATGCCATGTTCTCCAGACTATATTTTTATGCCATTGGTATTTATATATTGCCCTGTATTATTTTCTGTGTAATACAGTTCCTAATTCAGGCACAAGCCACCATGCCTAGGTTGGCCATTTCTTTGTAGTTGTTTCCTTGGATGTAAAATGACAATAAGAGTTCTTATATAATGCTGTTGTGAAAATTAATTGGACTAATAGGGAAAAATGCATGGTTTAAGACTTAGAATATATGTGAGCTCATTAAACAGGGGCTGCTCTATTATCATGACACTGATTCCCATCAGTTCTTTCTCTTCCCCGCCCTATGCTGCCTTTGCCTGCCATTCCTGTTTGTTTGTTTTTTTCTTTGGGAACCAGCAATCGAACTCAGGACGCCATGCTCGCCAGGCAGGTACTGTGTCACTGAGCTAAATCCGCAGCCCCCATTCCTGTCTCTTTCTTCTTTAGCACATACTGAACTTACAGGGCACCTCCCAGTGCCCGCCCTAGACCTTGGCTTTTCATATGAAACAGACACAGCCCTTCCCTGGCAGTGGTCACTCTGTTGGCCACTCCTTTGTAGGTGCTCTGTGTTCCACGCACACCTGGCTCATTGTCACTTTGTACTCTGGGCCTTTGCACAAGTTCCTTTACTTTATCAGCGGTTTCTTTTTCTCTTGTATAAATTCCAATAAAGTCACACTTTCTCAGTTTATGCTGGTCATTTATGGGTTGTGAGTCTTAAGGTGTTTTGTTACTTTTTTCTTCGGACGTCTTTTTCTTTTGAGGTCTCACTGTGTTGCCCAGGCTGGTCTTGAACTTGTGATTCTCCTTCCTCCGCTTCCCAGGTAGATGTGATGACAGAACGGCACCACCTCACTGTTCCTCAGACAATACTGCTTGAATTAGTACAGAGACTGAGCGTCATTTTTCTATGCAAATTTTGTTATTAAAAGAAAAATATGGGCAGGGGCTTCCTCACTTGAGAACTTTCCTCTTCTCTTTCCCCACAGTGCTGCACGTGCAACTTTGGGACCGTGTCCCCTATGTTGCTGGAATGTCTGGTTTCAGTGTCTACCTCCCCAGGCAAATGATGAAACCCTTGGAGCTGGGGGCTGGGGGCTGGGTTTTACTTCTGCATCTCTGGCAGGCAAGTCAGTGCCTGGAGTCACCTGGCCTTCTTGCTGCAGCTGTGTGTGTGTGACTTCAGCGTGTGTGTGGGGAGACAGTGGGCATGAATCTGTAGCTGATTTGTGTTTTGGGCTGTGTCCCCCTCCGCCCAAGGAGCAGGACAGCCTCCCAGGTGGGGCGGCTGGGCTTCAGTGTCTCGTCCCCTTTGTCCCACCAAGGTATCCACAGTAGCTCTTGTATCTCTGGGCCAAAAAATCCTGGCAAAATTGCCCTGTGTGAAAGACAACCCAGCCAGGCTTTATTTTTGGAGGTTGGGGGTGGGGCTGGCATGATAGGGGGTGTGGGAAGCCTTCCCGGAGGGCAGCTGTACCCCCACTCCCCAGCCTCCCTTGCCCTATCTGGAGGCCTCTCCAGTCTCCGTGAGACAAGTCTGAAACAAAAAACGAAGACGGCAAATACCTTCCTTAGAGTTCAAGCCCCGTGAGAGCTGGAGGACTTCACAGTGAGCTCCCTTCTCTGCTTACGGCCCCAGCACCACCTCAGGCCCTGGGGAAGACCAAGGAATGTTTGGAAGAGAGGAACGTGACCAGACTCGGGAAGTTTCTCTTTCCCCACTTAGACTCAGCTCTAATGGGGAAGGTGGGTGTCATGGGCGGTAAGAGCCTTCTTTCCTTAAGTCTGCTGCCCCAGGGCATAGCAGGCCTTGCTTCCTTGGTCCTTTCAGGGCTGTGGGGCTTGGCAACCTCCCAGGGTTCCTTGCACCAGATCTGCTGAGAGCCAGGGACCACCGACAGCTGTGGGGCGTGTCCTGAGGGCGACAGGCTGCTAGTTGCCCCAAGGCTTCCTTGGCCCCAGAGCTCAGAGGGAGCCTGCATCCCTCCTGCACATGCACACGGGGGCTGGGGTCGCCATCACACCAGCAGTCATGTGGTGTCACAGTATGACTTGGTGGAGGTGAGCTGGGCAGGTGCGGATGCCCTGCCTGGGGACTGGACAGTGAGGTGACAAAGGGGGAGGACAGACGAGGAACAGGTGGTTAACTTTGTGCTCTTCAGGCGTAAACAGACCACGTCACCCACAACTAGGGTGTTGCCTCTTTGACCAGAGTGCTCCGAACAGGCTAGAGTGACAAGCAATGTCTTCACTTAACTTTTTTGAGCAAGCTTTTTTTTTTCTATTTTGTGTGTCATAGGACAGGAGCATGACAACAGGGCTGGGGCCGGCCTGAACCCACACCTAGTAGGTTATGCTCACACGAGGCATGCGTGCCAAAGCTGCACTGCCCTTCCGTTTCCCCTTAGGCTGTGGCAGCGTGACCGCTGAACTGTAAGACTGATCACTGCGTCCTCTGTCAAGTCCTTCAGTATAGTCCCATTTCATGGAAGCCTAATTTATACTGTCCCAGAGTTTCCAAACTTACTCTCTTCGCTTTCTCATAAGTCAGTCAGTTATAACTCTCAATTCCAGCTCCTGGCTTCCTTTTCCGCCCTCAAAACAAACCAGCGTCTCCTGCCTTAGTGCCTTTGCCCCTGTGCCTATTCCCTTTCTTTGCTCACATGCTACATATCTACTTAATTTGTTTCTTCTTCACAAGAGTGAACACAAGGTCAAGGACTTTGTTCTGTTTGCCTTCAGTGCAGACAACAGTGCCTGGCAGATGAGGGACACTG